TCCTTTGAAGCAGCCAGCGCGGTGTGCTGCACACTTTCTGACCTCTTTTGCAGACAGGCGCCCTTTTTCAAGCAGAGAAGGCAATCCTTGAGCAAGCCTGCAATGCTAGCTAACAGCCAGCTATTACTGGCTGTTTGCCAGCAACTGTAATTTAAAGCAACAATCCAGGAACGAATTCGCGGGTAAGGACCACCTATAATGACGTTGCAGGTGAGAAGTTGGTCAATGGAGAAAGAAAAAGTAGAAAAAAACGTCGGGCAGGGGCTTAGACAGGGACTCCCCCTGCCGTTTAGGGAGACGTGTGTTGGACGAGTTGTCCGAACCTGCCCGCAGTACATGCGCTCCAATTGCGATTGCTTGCAAATACTTGGCTATTTGCCAGCAATAGTATTTAAGCGCGTCAATAGATTTACTGATGGTTTTCGTCTGATGCAATGTATATTGCGTGTAATATTACATGTGTTTCGTAGTTTTTTTTTACGAAGGTTGTCTTTTCACTTCCTCTTCTCACAAGGGTGAGCCTTTGCGAGAAGAGGAAGTGAAAAGAGCCGCAACGGGTGTTGACCAAGCGTCGCCATCCATAGCGGCATCATAACTGAAAAACCGAAAAAATTGGATCGTGATGAATAATTTTGGCGCCATAATAATAGCAATTTAACAAATTTTCTTGTACCTTAGGAGGTTCAGACTTGAAGACGACGATTCAGTCGAAACGTTAGGCCACTTAATAAAAGGTTCCACCGAACAACCTCGTAAGGCACAAGAAAATTTGTTAAACTTACAACTGACATGCCGAGGTTACAAGAAGAGAGAAGTTGGAGAATAATAACAATGATAAATAACAGTTATGATACGAAAAATAAAGAAAGAACCAAAGAACATGATGAAACCGATGAGTACCACAAGTGTTGACAGAAAAGAACATTGCAAATGAGCAGACAGAACTCCATCTTTACCAGCGTCACCACATTGATCGCGCTAAAGGACCGAGTTCAAATACTCTCTGTGGTCCGACAGCGATCACGAATGCCGCCGCAGCCAATCACGGCGGCAAATGGGCGGAGCTGGGGAATTTCCAACCGCACCCAGTTTTGAGGAGCTTACGCCCTTTTTTTGGCTTTCTGAGGTAAGTTCGTTTAATATTTCCACTGCATATGTTCTTCACTAGGGCTCGTGTATCCCTCAGTAGTAGTGGCATTGAAATTTTCGGACCCTCCCTGACTGTTGCTTTAAGCACATTTACTTAGGGCGAGTTGAGACAACTTGTAAAAGACGTTTCTTCCTTCATTTCTGAGGGAAAGAAGGTGAGCACCTGTTTAGAGCCTT